CGAAGTACCTGCATAGGCTTTGAGGCCAAATATATACTATGTGGTCGCATGGACAGTTTAGGGACAAGCACAGTATACTAGACTCCCCCGGTCCATTCTTTTCATCTAGAGCATCTAGGTCCTCAAAGACCAGACACCCCAAATTACCCCAACATCTCGCTAACCCACACACCCTAAAGCCCTCCACCCTAGACGCCCGAAAACCCTCAGACGCCTCCAAATCCTGAGCGTTAAAAGCCCATAAGAATCATTTAGAACCGAAAACCGGAACTCGAAGATGCGGGGATGTCAGAAAATACGGGACCCCAATCCTCAGGGTCAGGACCCTTACGTAAGGTAGCCCTAGTTTTAAGAAGCCGGGCTTAGGGTTTGGGGTGTAGGGATAAATGAGTCCTAACCAGCTTTCAGCCGACCCAAGCCTGGCAGGCAGGTGCATCGCACTTTCGCGGTGAGCTCAGCACCATGAACATGCAGAGACTATGGGGATCTGAGTTTGCAGCAAGTATATCAGAGTACCAATGTAGCATGTGTATGTATGTATGTATGTATGTATGCATGCATGCATGTATGTATGTATGTATGTATGTATGTATGTATGTACGTCAGGTATGTATGTATGTATGTATGTATGTATGTATGTATGTACGTCATGTATGTACGTCATGTATGTATGTATGTATGTATGTATGTACGTCATGTACGTATGCATGTATGAATGTATGTATGTATGTATGTATGTATGTATGTATGTATGTAAGTACGCCATGTATGTATGTATGTATGTATGTATGTATGTATGTATGTATATATGTAAGTATGTATGTACGTCATGTATGTATGTATGTATGTATGTATGTGTGTATGTACGTCATGTATGTATGTATGTATGTATGTATGTATGTATGTATGTACGTCATGTATGTATGTATGTATGTATGTATGTATGTATGTATGTATGTATGTATATATATATATGTGTGTGTGTGTGTGTGAGAACTGTAAAAATAGATGGTAGTACAAAGTATTCCGACAGGGCGTGATGGAGTTCAGGGCTTAGAATTAGGGTTCAAGGGTTCAGTGTATTCAACAACATCTAAATGCGAAAAGGTTCTGAAGCAAACGACCCTTCACTCTTCTAGCTCAAAGCCAAGAACCTTACGAAGTAGCTCGATCGATTTGCCCCTGTAACCATATCATGACATTCATCAAACCGAATTATTGGTTGAGTTGATAATACTTTTGCAAAATGTTAAGAATGTTCATTGCTCAAACAAAGTTTGTCGCGACACAGTAGTTATTCAGTTATTCAACACACTGTCGCAAGCATAACAAGAACGTAGGTGTCCTTCTTCTGCGGGATCTCCGAGAGAAAAAGCAAGCAAGGCCCTTCGAACAACAATCAGACCGTGAACTGGGGGGCTGGTTCAGGGTTTGGTTCTTTAGTTTTTTTTGGGGTTTAGGGTTTTGTTTTGTAGGGTTTAGGGTTTAGTTTTGTAGGGTTTAGGGTTTAGTTTTGTAGGGTTTAGGGTGTAGTGTTGTAGGGTTTAGGGATTAGTCTTTTAGAGTTTAGGGCCTAGGGTTTAGTTTTTTAGGGTTTAGGTCTTAGAGGTCAGGGTGTAGGGGTAGTGTCCCTTTGCCTGCCGACCCGTGCAAGCCCTAATTACTCTGGACATCCGAAGCCCCAAACCCTCGACGGGTTTAGGGTTTAGGGTTTGGATAAACTCCTGCCTATCCGCCGTCAGAAAGTGTGGGAACGAAAACTTAGCTCTACAGGATACTTTGAGCTTACTTACTAGGTCCCTGCGCATTGAACCAGAACACCTTTCGGCAGACCGACCGCAAGCTGTCATCAGTCAAACAATGCCACCCTACAGCCCCGAACCAAAAATTCCCCACCCGAAACCCGAACCCTAGAAATTCGAAAGCTGTAAAGCCTTAAACCCGGAAGCCCAGATCCCCCCCGAACCCCGAACCACCACAAAAACCATACACAACCTGAAAGAGACATTACAGAAACCCCGTAACCCCCAGGCCTTAAACCTCACGCCCTTGTAGAAATTCTCTACAGGAGCCCTAAACCCCAAACCCTAAACCCTAAATCCTAAATTGGCCTTAAACCCTAAACCCTAAATTGGCCCTAAAGCCCTAAACCCTTACACTACCCTTGCGAGATTCCCTTGGGGCTAAACCGCTCTAGGCCCGAAGCCCTGGTAAGGGTTCCCTTTTTCAGGGAGCCACTATCTGGGTCCTTGTTGGATACAACTTTACATGTTTGTTATAATAACACCCCAAAAAAACAAGATGATTTTATTGTGGCCCCAACAGGGAACCAGTTATGATGGCCTCAGAGGATCTACAGTACCCAGAGAACCCAATACCCCTTAACTACGGAATGGACCTTAAAGTATAGGGGCCTTAATATTATGATTTGAGGTCTATTCCTTAATTCCCCTAAACCCAAAACCCTTATAGATCCCTTTAAGGAACCCTTAAAGGTATGTATTCCTTAATTAAGGGGTATTGGGTTCTCTAGGTAGACCCTGAGTTTCAATGCCCAGGCCAAGCCCCTGATAATCATGTCAGCGAAATATCTGCTACATCACAGGCGGCCCATTGGGGGGAGGGGTGTTCGTTTACGGAAACCCTAAACCCTAAACCCCTTAACCCCCATACTTAGGAGTTTAGACGGGCTTCCAGGGTTTGACGGTTTAGATCTTGGCGTTTACGGCTTAGGGTTGCTTTCGAAGCGTCATAGTTCCAAGTCCGCCATTACTTTTCACGTCACAAACCTACAAACCTACAAAAAACCCGTAGACTCCATAATAGTTCCTTTATTTTTGTGGTTTATATTTAGGATCCTATAACGTAATCCCAAAAGGAACTACTATGGAGCCTATGGGCAGAGCATCTTGTGACATGGCGGCCTGAATATTGAGTAGTGATACCCGCGGATCGTGCCAACATAAGGCATAAGTAGACCATATTCCTCAAAACCCTGCTCCACTTGTTCTAACTACGAAGGACCCCATCTTCAGTCGTGTATAAGGACAATGCTTACAACACACACACGTCCCCACAAAAGACTACAAAAGCTTCATAAAAAGCCTCATACCCACGGTCTTTGCCATGGTTTTCAGGTTTGCTCGAATGGTTTTTTTGGTAGATTCCGTGGTTCATACAGTATGCCAAGTGGGTTTAGAAGGCTTCACTCGGATTTGATGGGGTGTCATAGGTGTTTCAAGGGTTTTAATAGGGCTAGGGTAACCAGGGCTTGACAGAGGCCACGGGGTTAAAGGTTGTGGGCGTCCCGGTGAGCCCAATGTACGCTTTCAATCGGTGAATACGCCGTCAGCTATGTAAGGCATGGTCTCTGATTCAGAAGACTGTTCTTTTTGATTGTGAGGTGTTGGGCTCTTCGAGTCAGCAGGGTTGATACAAAGCAGTTTTTACATGAGGGGTTGAATGAGTCTACTTGTGGCCCGTGGCTCCTTCGGCTAACGTTGGGTTCCTTTCTCCGCGCAGAGGAGGCGGGGCCGGTGCAAAGGGGGGAAAATTGTCCCACTCCTTATCGTGCTCCACACTTCAATGACCACATTAGCCGTTGAACGAATTACCCTAAGGGTCAATGTACTCAGATATTATATACTTTAGCCCCAAAGTGCCTACATAGGGACTACCTTAATACGGCGAGTGCATATACTACCTAAGCCCTAAACCGTAAACTGAACCCTAAACTAAACCCTAAATCCTACAATCCCTAAACTATATGAGTACATGGACCCTCAGGGTTACAGAATCGAACTCAGAGACCCAGACTCTTCAAGGGATCGTCGGTCCCAATGGCAAGCCGGTCATGGATTTCTTGATTTTAGGGTTTTAGGATTTAGGATTTAGGGTTTAGGATTTAGGGTTTTAGGGTTTAGGATTTAGGGTTCAGGATTTAGGGTTTAGGATTTAGGGTTTAGGTCTTGGGATTTAGGGTTTAGGATTTAGGATTTAGGGTTTCTATTTAGGGTTTAGGGTCTAGGATTTAGGATTTAAGGCTTATCGTGATCTTCGTGCGACGTGCAGGTCGGTCCTATCTTCCTCCTGGTGCCTTCAACTCCCAAATGGTCCAAAGTACCTATATAGTAGAATGTAGGGTTTCTATACTAGGAATTGCTATTATGATTTGGGGAAGTATGCCCCATAACAGTGCCTAGGACCCTTTGGGACTAAACCCTAAACCGATCGGGCTTCCTGGGTTGGCCTGAAACCTGTGCACCCTGAACTTCCCCTGCGGATCCATGCACTCAAACGGGTTTCTGTACGGATTCCTATAAGGGTTCTATATAGGGTCTAGTAGCTCTGGGCTCGAGGCTTTCCAGTAGTGGAGCGGATTACAACCAAACATCGAGAGTGCCGTTTTTGCCATGGTGGGTGACCCTGTTCTTTCGGGTCTTTCGGCAGGTGACTGCATAGACATTGTGGTCTATATTCAGTCATTGGACTCGCAAGGGGCATGTATGGTCGCTATCTGGAACCAAGAACGATGCAGATGCCTGGGGGCTTTTGAGGTTGATCGTGTGTACACTTTGTATGGGGTCTTGTATCAGGGCCTTTTTGACGAGGTGCATCACTTGCGGCTTCAAGATGAGACGGTGAGCATTCTCAGGCCATTGCTCAACGCGGCATCCTACAGCTCTGCTAAGGAAATTTGCGCAGGCATCGGAGGGATCTCCTTCGGTCTCCGACAGGTAGGCTGTTGCAGCTTGGTAGTGTCCGATCACAACAAGCTGGCGTGCAAGGTGCTCCGGGATAATTTTCCCGCTGTAGTACAAGGGGATTTAGATGATCGTCACACACGCATCCAGATACACCAGGTCGCGCAAGAAATCCGCAGCATGCTTTGTGCCGGCCTTCCTGCCCAGGGCCCCCCTAGGTTCGGTTTAGGTCCTCGCCCTGGTGACCCTAGGTTGGTTCTTTTAGGTCAGGTGCTACAACTTGCTTGGCACGCCCAGGCCAGCTGTCTCCTCCTTGAAGGCCCTATTGATCTTGCACAGCAGTCGCAATTTCAGGGTCTTCTCAGGGACTTTGCAACCAAAGCAGACCTGCAATTGCATCAAATTGACCTTGATCTTGGCGACCAGTGGGTTTCATCACGTGTACGCTGGTGGGCGGTCTTGCTCCCCAGAGGCCTGCCCATCCTGCAACTTCAGCGTTGGCCCGCACTGTCGCCTCCGCTGTTAGTACGTGACATCATCCCAGAGTGGCCGGTGTGGCCTGCTGTCGATGAAGCAGATTTGAAGTGGAGTGCTCAGGAGGTTGAAGCCTACAACGACCCGACATTGGGAAGCGATCCGCGCGTCCTGGCCACATCTGGCCAGGCACCTGTTGCGTTGCACAGCTGGGGCAATGCACTGCGACCCTGCCCATGTGGCTGCCGAAGCAAACCTTTCAGCATTGAGGGTCTACGAGCTCAGGGCTTGAAGGGGATTGGTGTGCCGTCACAGACCCAAATAGGCATGCGCTTTTTGCACCCCCAGGAAGCTGGACTTCTTAACTCGCTACCACCCAGCATTGTGTACACAGTGCCACCCCGTGCCGCGTTGTGCCTTGTCGGCCAGCTTACAGCACCATTGCAAGCAGTCTGGGTCTATGCCACTGTGCTTCAAACCGTGACCCCATGCTTTGGTGGTACAGTGATTGATCCAGCCGCAGAGCTCAGCCGTTTCAAGAGCCAACTCCTCCAGCAACGCCAGGACCATTGGTTGTTACCCTCGATGTTGTCAGGAGGAACTCTTTCCCTCCGAGATGACGATGGACTTCGAACAGAGGCTGCATCAGGCCCGGTGACTGTGCAGCAGCTCATCTGTGCCGAAACTGCGCTCCTACCTCCAGGCTTCAAGCTCAAGGTACTACTTCAAGGTCGGGCGTTACCCAAGTTTGCCAGACTAGCTTTTGCGCCACATGGCCCCGTATACCAGTTGCAAGTTCAGAGAAAGACGGCTGCCTCTGACCATTGCAACCTACCAGTTTCCGTTGCTCCTGCAGGGCCTTCGGGTGGCACATCCTGCTCGCTTGGCCTGTTGCCTGCGCACCCCCCGGCTTTGCCAGTCCCTGACTGCCCTGCTCCGCTGCCTCATCCTCTTGAGGCCTTGCGCACAACCACTGCTACCGACTTTGCCATCTGGTACGGCATCCACTTGTGGACCGAGTCGTCTCCTGCCTCCGATGGATTTCGCCTGGTGCCTCCTTGTGCTGCGGAAACACTCCTACAACTCTTAGGGGAGGATTTCAGTTTGGCCCCCAATGCTGCGCCGATACTCCCGCAAGGCCCGTTGGTCCTCATTCCATTTGCCTCCGGGGGGCACTGGGCCCTGCTTGTTTTACTTTCGGGTCCTGCTGGTGTGGAGGCCACCTTGTGGGACGGGGTCCCTGGTCGCTGTGCGAGTGTAGCCAGACAATTGGCTCGGATCTTCTGCCATCTTGACCAGGCGGCCCTTCTGTCGTTCAATGAGGCACACCACTGGCTGCAACAGGAACCTGGCACTTGCGGTGCATATGTCATCGCCCACGCTGCAGCCCTTGTCTTGGGGAACCCCGACCCGACTACTCTGGTTTGGGCCGCGGATTTTCTGGTGAAGTTTCCTCCACATCTTTCTGGTCTTTGCGGCCAGGGCGGTTTGTCCACGGAACAGGATAAAGAGCTGCAGGCACTCTTAGTCAGCAAGGGCGTGCCTCAAGACGAGGTTGCAAATCGGGTGCAGGCGGCAGTGGCCAAGGTGGGCGCTGGTCCTATTGGTCTGGCCTTGCAACAGCGCAATCCGTGGCAAGCCCTGAAAACTTGTGCATCGAAGCCACACTGCATGTTCAAATGGGTACATTCTGACGAGCTCCAGGCTCATGTTGAGCGGCGTGCCCAGGCCAAGTTTGGGACCGAGATCCCCAATGCGAAAGCCAAGAAAAGCAAAGTGGCCAAGCGCCCCATCCAGGCCCCGCTTCACATTGATCCGGCCCAACTTCGTTTGTCTCCAGGCAGTTTCACTGCCACTTCTGGCGCACCGCTTGACCAGCTGTCTTTTGATGAGGTTCAGGCCCAGGCCACAGGCATATGCTTCTGTTCGGTTGAGCAAGCCCTGCCGTTTGCTGCGCACGGCCGAAATCTCAGCGTTGACCCTTTGGTCTTGGTCACTACGGCCGAAATCCCAGAGGAACAGGCAGGCAAAGCCCGACTCACTCCAGTCAGGTATCCAGCAGTCTTCACCCCAACACAGGAAGCCGTGCTAGTCACCGGAACACTGGTGCAGTTGGGAGATGACAGTGTCCAACTTGCCTCGGCAGACATAGCAGAGATTGAGCACCTGGACACCATGGTATGCAAGTTGTGTCTCTACAAGGATGAGACGACCCTTTCCTGGGAGAAGCTTACAGAAGCTCCCATCCGCCACTTGCTGCAGCAACTCCCTGCACTACAGATCTGCCGCGATCCAGCCTGCAACCAGACATGCCTAGCATTCCATGCTGCGGTCGACGAGGTAGTTGAGCAGCTGTTCTTGGACATTTGGTCCAGGCAATGGTGCCGGATGAACGGTTCCCGCGCTCAGGCAAAAGATGCTGACTTCTTTCAGGCCTATATTCGAGTGCCAGCCTCGGCGATTCAGCACCTGTTCCGCGCCTCTGGATGCGGATTGTACTTTGAACCCCGTGCTGCGGATGGCTCGGGGCCTCATGTTGCTTGGTCGGTGGTTTGGCTCCCGGGGCAATCCTCTACTCAAGCCCAACATGCACTCCGCACCACTGAAAAGGCCATTGCATTGGCCAGGCTGGGCTGCAAGTATGGCCTCAGAACAAAGGAAGCCGACGAGCAGGTTGTCTTTGAGGCTCTGAGGCCCCAACATCAATTCATGAAAATCCGAGTGCAGGCGCAGTACCGTTTGCACCCCCTTCCTCACGGCCTTCAGCGACCGGCCCTGGTTCAACTCCTGAAACAATGGGGCTGGAGCTGCAAGCCCCTCCAGCCCGATAGAGGTGATTCGGCCGGTGCCGCCTGGCTTGTGGGTGCCGCCGAGGACCCGCCAGCCCCGGCCTTGTCCCTGGGGCCCTGGGATCCGACTTTGTCCTTGCTACAAAGGTTCGTGATGTTGGTGGTGCCGCCCGTTCTCAGCTGCAATCGGTGTATGCCTCAGCCCGCACAAAGAAAGCCATCCTCCTGGACGATGATCCCGATTTGTGCCCTGACCCTTGGGCTGGAGGCCATGACCCATGGTCCACGGCAAAATCTGCCACAGCGACCTCCCAACAGGCGGCCACATCCTCCTCGGTTGCAGTGACAAAGCTATTGCAAATTCAAGCCGATCTTAAACAAGATCTTCATGAAATCGTCCGAAAGGAACTTGATGAGCATCAGGCCACGGGGCCCCCACCTGGCCTCTCCGAGCATGATCATAGGCTGCACCAACTCGAGATTGGACTCACCGAGCTGCGACACCAAAATACCAAATTCGAAGGCTGGTTTCAAAACTTCGGCACCAAGGTTGCTGACCAGGCCCAACAGCTCGAAGGTTTAGCAGGAACCGTTGCGGAACAACGTCGTGAACTTGCCCAGGTGAAAACAGAGGTAAAGGCATCCGTCCAGACTGCGGTGTTGGGCATGCAAAATGAGATCTCTACCCAGATGTCGGCACAGCTGGCCGGGCAAATGGAACAAATACAAGCCCTCTTCGCCAAGAAGCCCCGCACGGGTTGACTAGGGCGCCCCGGCCGCTCTTCTGCATGTAGGAGCGGGCCGCATCTGCATTTCTGCTTGCGCTTCGCTGTGCTATTCTTCGCGGCCTTTGGCACGCTGGCCGATGCTGCCTGCGGCCTTTCGCCGTCTACCAGTGAGTTGCCCTGTGATCGGGTTCGCCAGGCACTCCCTGACAATCTTTACTCTGGCCCAGTTGCCTTTCGATTCGGCGAGGCCGCGGACCCTGGACCTGCCGACCTTTTTCACATCAGTACCAGCAATCCTTCTGGACTTCGAAACAAGGAGTCGCTGTACTCTGAGTGGGGCGAAGGAGTCCACTGCTTTGCTGAGACTCAGCTTTCGGCTGTTACTTTGCCTGGCTCCAAAGCCCAGTTCCGCATGCTTGCAAAATCCATGGGTCGCCAAGCACGCACCGTGGCAGGAGCCCCAGCGCCTTTGAGGACAAACAGCCAATGGGCCGGTTCTTGGACCGGGGTTCTTCAAGTTTCTGACTTTCCGTGTACACACTTTCAACTGCCTTGGCCGTCTGGACTTTACGAAACAGGCCGTCTGGTCTTGGCCACCCATTATCGTTCCCAGGTCCCTCTGAAAATCGCCACGGTTTACGGCTATGCTCCTGGCAACACCTGGCCCAAGGCTAAGGCTGACACGGACTGCATGCTGAGTTTTCTCACCCGGGAGCTTGTTCTTGGCTCTCGTGGGTTCAGGGTTATCTGCGGGGATTTCAATCATGCTTTTGACGGCCTCAACCAATGTGCGATATGGCGTCACCATGGCTGGATTGAACTTCAATGTTTGGCTGAGCGCCTTTGGGGCACGCCGCCCAAGCCAACCTGCAAAGCGGCCACACGGCATGACTACATTTGGCTTTCACCGGAGGCGGCCGCCTGCCTAGTGCAAGCATCTGTAATTGATGTCTTCCAGGAGCATTCCACTTTAATTGCTGGGTTTGAGCTCCCGGGTTCCACCGTTTTGGAGCACACCTGGCCTTTGCCGTCGGAGATTCAATGGAAGCACGTAGATGTCGATGCTTGGCATCGAATGGGGGATCATGCTCCCGTTGCGTCCCCAACCTCGACTCAGTGGTTTGCTGGATTTTCTCACGCCGTTGAGCGCAGCCTCTGCGGATTTGCCCCGGACATGAACGGAAACCATATACCTACGGCCTGCTTCGGCCGAGCCAAACGTCTTCAGCCTCAGACTGGTCGGCCTGTTTGCAAAGTTCCGAAACCCAGTCGTCCCGGAGAAGAAATCCGACAACATGACGGCCTCTGCGCGGAGGTCACCCGCTGGTTCCAACAACTGCGGCGCCTGCAGTCGCTGATGCACGCACTCCAGGCTGGCAGCACCGCGCCCACGGCTTTGGAGTATCGCTCCTCTTTGTGGAGCTCCATCTGTGTCGCTCGAGGCTTTCGGGGTGGCTTCTTGCAATGGTGGCCAACCAGACCGCGTCGTCTTGTGGGCAGCCCTGCCCTCTTATCTCGCATGATTCCCGATGTTCATGCTGCCCGGTGCATCTTTGAGGACTTTCGCTGTAACTTCCGTAGCCTGGAGAGCTGGCATTTGCAGAACCGGAGCAAGATCCTTCAAAGCAAGTATGATGCCTCAATGACCCAACTTTTTCATGAGCTTCGGGACCCTGCCCCAGACCAAGTTGACACATTGACAGTGTCCCGTGAATACGCCATTTTGGCTTTGTCACCCTCTGGTGACCAACTGCACTTGGATTCTTCCTTGGATCTCCGCGGGGTGTCCACTTGGACAGTCGACGGCACTTCGGTTGATCTAACTTCTGATGGAGACGATGTGTGCACTTTGTCCACTGCAATAGATGGTGTCCCGGAGCGGCTGGAGCAAACCCAGGTGCTCTCAGCAGTCCCCGATCTCCACCATGAATTCACAAGTTTGTGGGCCTCGCGATGGCAAAAACATGCCACCCATACGGCCTCCCATTGGCAGCGATTCCTGGACTTTGCTGCAGCCTTTCTCCCCCGATCCTCCATCTCTCTGCCGGCCATCACAAGTGATGCTTGGATTCGGGCAGTGCGCCGTTTCAAGCCTAGGGCAGCTCGTGGCCCAGACGGTTGGGCCAAACAAGACCTGTTGCAGATGCCCCCTGCTCGCATTGATCAGCTCATTGCTTTCCTGACTGAGCTAGAGGCTGATTCCAGGCCGTGGCCCTTGCAGATGATTACCGGCTTTGTGTGTCTCCTGTGCAAGAACAACGGCCGGGCCGATGTTCACGGATTTCGGCCCATCTGCCTCTATTCCATTGTCTATAGAACTTGGGCCGGCTTACGCTCCCGGCAAATCCTCCGCTCGCTCCGTACTCAGCTCCCTGATGAGTTGCACGGCTTTGTCCCCGGCAGAGAGGCCACAACTGTGTGGTACAGCATACAAGCTGAAATCGAGCTTGCGATCCAAGGCGATACTCCGCTCCTTGGACTCTCCACGGACATTGTGAAGTGCTTTAACAATTTGCCCAGGCTTCCACTACTGGCGGTGGCGACCCGAGCTGGGGTACCCACAAGCGTTCTGAATCCGTGGGCAGCTTTCCTCCAGAATACGGAGCGCCGGTTTCTCATAAGGGGGCAAGTCAGCATGCCAATTCAATCTTCGTCGGGTTTCCCTGAGGGTTGTCCCCTCAGCCCGCTCGCGATGTTGTTGGCCGACTTGGCTTATCACGTATACATGCGGGCACTGGCCCCTCAGGTCAGGGCTCTCAGTTACGTAGACAACCTGGCCAACCTTGCTGCCACTCCGGCTGGTCTTGCCACGGGATACCATGCTACACATTGTTTTATGGACTTGCTCGACTTGGAGCTAGATCAGCCTAAGACGTACGCATGGGCTACCAAGCCTGCAGACCGCCGGGTCTTGAAGGCTCTTGGGCCTACTGTCCTCGAACATGCGCGTGAATTGGGCGGCTTCTTGACCTTTGGCCCTAGAACACGGAACGCAGCCCTGGTGGACCGATGTGACGCCTTGGCCCCAATCTGGAGCGCCCTTCGACGTTCCCGGGCACCCATTCATCTGAAGATTCGGGCCCTTCCAAACAAGTGTTGGTCCCAGGCCTTGCACGGTATCTCTGGCTGCTCATTGGCTACTGATCGCTTGAATCAACTCCGAGCGCAAGCAACAGGTGCCCTGCGTCTTCGGCCAGGGGGTGTCAGTTCGCTCCTCCGTTTGTCCATCGCTCAGCCGATGACTGCTGATCCTGGCTTCTTTCAGTTGTGGACATGTGTCTGTGACATTCGTCGTATGGCACAAAAAATCAACGGCTTTGTCTGCCTTTGGCGGAGCTTCATGAAGTTTTTCGATGGCCGTCAGCTCCCCGGGCCCTTCACAAAGCTTCTTCATGTGCTCTCCCAAATCGGGTGGTCCATACAGAGACCTCCATTGGTCGTGGACCATGAAGGCTTAGTGCATAGGTTGCTAGTGGCCCCTAAGGCCTTACTCCGAAATCGCCTGGAGCATGGCTGGCTTCGTCACGTGGCCCACGAGCACCAGCGTCGACACACCATGCAGGATTTGACCGGCATTGAGCCGTCATTGCTCCATGCAGATGATCACTCTTTGATGCCAGTTGATGCGGCCCGACTGGCCTCGCTTAGAGCCGGAGCCTTCATTTTTGGTCAGCAACAGGCAAAGTTTGACCTGACTCAAACGGGCCTTTGTGACCATTGCCAGGTTCCGGATGATGCTCACCACCAGGTGTGTGATTGCCCGCGCTTTGCCCACATAAGAAGGCCATACCAATGGGTGTGTGAGAGGTGGTCTGAGTTGCCGACGTGCTTTACGCACCATCTGCTTCCCCCCTTGAACCCCCACATGCCACTACTGCGCAGCCTGCTGCACAATCTGTCGGATGTTTCAGGGATTTTCTTTAGTGCCGGGGTTGGGGTTGGTTGGCAACACCTTTTTACCGACGGTTCTTGCATGGATCCCGGATGTTCCGAGCTGGCTTTAGCGTCCTGGGGCGTGATGCATGCTGCCTCGGCGATGCCCATCGCCTGTGGGCATGTCCCGGGCCTACTTCAGACGGCCCCCAGGGCCGAAATCTGGGCCGTTATTTCAGCTGCACGATGGGCGCTTCGGCATCAGCTACCATGCATGGTTTGGTCGGATTGCAAACATGTGGTGGATAATGTGGCCGAGCTTCAGGATGGTTCACCTCCTGACAACTGTGCTGATGACGACCTCTGGTTCACACTAGAGGGACTTCTGCACCAGCTGGACCCTTCGCACTTTTTGGTTCGACACGTCCCTTCACACCTGGACCAGGGCCTGACCGAGGACCCATTTGAGGACTGGGTGGCCGTGAACAACAATCATGCGGATACTTTGGCAGTCGTGACCAACAACAGCCGGCCCCTAGAGTTTGCTTCTGCCTACCAAGCTGCCGTCGATTTCCATTATACAAAACTGGAAGAGCAGCGAGCCTTGACCGCCATCTATCTCGGCATCGCGGCAGCTACAGACAAGCGACAGTCAAGGAACAGCACTGAAGAAGATATGCAGGAGGCAGCTGTGCCAACACAGCTTCAGCCAGTACACCGAAGATGCGACTTGGAAGAGATGCTTCCGATCGGATGGAGAGAACTTGTCATTCAAACGTCCAGTGATCTGCCAAGTGATTTTATTGTCAATGTGTGCCAAGCCCTTTTTGTACAGGATGCTCAGGCTGCACAGGCTCACGCCATCTCGTGGCTCGAATTAGTTTTCTTGTTTCATGTTTTGGGTGGTATCGATTATCCGGTTCCTGGGCCTCATGGAGGTTGGATTTCATCGGCCACTGTAGCTTTTCCCTCTGCTCAACCTACGGTGGCTGGGAAACTTTCATTTGTGCGCCGCGCTGCGCGGCAGGCCCTGCAACGGCTGCAACTCCAATGTTTGTTTTGTAGTGGTATTGATCTGAGTGGGTTTGGGATTCCTTTCCCTTTGGACGGTTTGATCATTGGAGTTGAGGGGCAGGCTTTTCTTCGGGCAAGGGCAGCCCTAGGCCTTTTTGTACAGGGGCGCAAGGTGACTTCTCACGCTGCGTTCGCTCGGCCTCTTTAGTGCTTCACCTTTCTGACCCGAACACGAACCTTGCTGGCTGCACTGCATCCGCCGTGCACCAGTGACAGAGCCCGAGTGTGCTATATAGGGTCTAGTGTATAAAGGTCCAAGTATTCATATAGCATACACATTGGCCGTAAAGGAATCTCTTTTTTTTAGGTACTTTTCGGCCCAAAGGATACCATATTTGGGTATATGCACTCTGAGGGTACTATAGTGGACTGAATACCCGAAATCTCTCGCTTTCACGGTTTTCTTGTCGCTGCCTTTTCGCAGCTCACATTCGGCTTTAGGGTTCCGGAGTACAAGTATATTATCAAGGAGCAAAAAACCCCTATTGAAACCATAAATGGCCGCTCCCCACACCAAGGCCCCGATGTGGGAGCTCAAAGCCTATTACCATAGAAGGCCCCCCCCCCCCGACTTGTGTAAGTTCACAGGGTTTGGGGCCAAGAGCTCATAGAGGCCCTGCCGGTCGCCTTTGGCTCACTTGGCATCGGGAACGAGGTTCCAGCGTGTGATCCAGGCGTGACTCCTTTTCGGGGGTTTAGGGTGCAATCCAGGAGTGACTCTTTAGGGGGTTTAGCGTGTGATCCAGGAGTGACTCGTTTTTTTTTTTTTTTTGGGGGG